GCTGGTGAGGGGACAAGCCTAGGCTCCCCACGAGACCTTAGCTAGTGGTGAGGAAGCATGGGGCCGGGTTTTTTTCTTTGGTGTTTGTGTAGAGCAGAGAGGTTACTGTGTAGAAGTTCTATCTTGCTAGACTGGCCCATGCCTGGTTTTTGTGGCCTGAGAGTTGCAGGCTTTTGTTTTGTCGACACCCACTGGAGTTTCTAGGCAGCTGGCTTATCCAGTATCCAGCTTGGACTAAATGAAGCAAAAAGAAAATCCACAGAACTCGCCACAGTGTTACGCTTCAGCTCCTATTCAATGTGCATACTTTTCTCCACCTTTGAGTCATAAGTTATATTCTTTTCGTAGACAGTGTCCAGGGTTTCAGCTGTATTTAGCAAAACGAACAGGGATAAGTACACCCACTCCATCTTCCTGGAAGCAGAAGTCCTATTGCTGTTAAGAATAATTTTGGTTAAGATGGTGTCTGCCACGTTTTTATATTGGAAAGTTAATAAATATTTTCTACTTTTTTAAATAGCAAATATTTTGTAGGGAGATATATTGAGGTAATGCAAATATTCTGTTTCTCATTAAACTTTTTAGCATCCATTGATTCTTGCCTGAAATAGTTTTAATGTTTGCCAAATGTTTATGATTCTATCATTCCTTGTACATTTATAAATTTGCATTCTGCTGTAAGGTAAAGCCTCTTCTTCCCCATTTATCTATCTCTTTATATTATTTATTCATGGATTCCTATTTTATTCAATGGTTTATATCACATTATGTGGAGTGCTTAGTCACCCAGTCGTGTCTGACTCTTTGTGACCCCAAGGACTGTAGCCTGCCAGGCTCCTCTCTCCATGGAATTCTCCAGGCAAGAATACTGGAGAGGGTTGCCATGCCTTCCTCCAGGGGATCTTCCCAACCCAGGGATCAAACCCAGGTCTCCCACATTGCAGGCAGATTCTTTACCATCTGAGCCACCAGGGAAGCCCTATATCACATTACTAATATTATTTATCTTGATGCTCAAATTGTCCCAGAATTCATTTCAAGTTGCTTTTGTGTCTGTTTAAAACCCTGAATTCACATGAAAACACCTCCACTTCCAATCCATCAGCACCGGATCTTCTCCAGCTTTGTATCTATAGCTCCTTTCTCGAGCAGTGAGAAACCTGACCTTCATTATCCTCAATGCATGTTCTGGTTCTGATATGCTTGGTCTCCTTGTAGGTAATCCATTATCTGGAAAGTCCCTTCAGCCCTGGCACTGCTAGTCGAATCCCCTTGGCCCAGAAACAAATGAAAAATGAAAACAAAACAGGGAAGACATACAGGACCAAGAAAGGATTCATGTCCTTAATTGTTCCTGTAGTTTGTTTAAATTTCTTTATCTTCAGATTTAGAAAGATTCACTTTTAGAAGTCTGTTTTTATTATATTTTCAATTTTGCCAATATATGAAAATGGTTATTTTGTTATAGGTTATATTGACAAATAATTTATTATTAACGAGGTTAAATATATTTTCAAGTGTTTATTGACTGTTTCTATTGCTTCTTCTATGAATTGCCTGTATCTTTTGCTCATTTTTCTATTAGGATATTAATCTTGATGGGAAGAATGACTTTTTAAAAAAATAAGGATAGCATCTTACTGTGTGTCAAATGATTCTCGTGGTTACTTATTTTTCTCTTAAATTTGTTTCTGGTTCTTTTTTACCATGCACAGCATTAAAATTTTTGTGTAGTTAAGTGCATCAGTCTTTTCCTTCATCGTTTCTGCCTGTATGTTTTGCTTAGAAATATCATTTCCATTCAGAGATTATACAAATATTCACTTAAAATGTGTCTTGTTATTTTCATGGCTCTATTTTTGACATTTAACTCTCTAATTCATCTTGTACTTAATTTTTGCATAAAGCATGATAGAAGTCCAGTGATCTGTTACCGATGATGTCAATTTCAAGTCAGTGTCACCTAGGCTAAGTATTGATTCCCTGTAAGAATAGACTGTTCATTGCAGTGTGGTTGTGCCAACCCAATTGTCGATTACTCCATCCTTTGTTCATCTCTATCATGCATTAAGTTATTATGGTTGAATCTATTTCTTTATTCTATTCCATTGATCTGTGTCTTTTGGTGCATTTTTATATCTGAAAGAGGAGGATACCCTCCTCCTCCTTCTGTACTCTTTTCCCCCTAGCAGTTTCCTGACTTTTTTTCTGACACCTTTTCTTAAAATTTATTTTTTTTCTTCATATTTTTTTTCATTTATTTTTATTAGTTGGAGGCTAATTACAATATTTAGTGGTTTTTGTCATATATTGACATGAATCAGCCATGGATTTACATGTACTCCCCATCCCAATCCCCCCTCCCACCTCCCTCTCTACCCAGTCCCTCTGGGTCTTCCCAGTGTACCAGGCCCGAGCACTTGTCTCATGCATCCAACCTGGGCTGGTGATCTGTTTCACCCTAGATAATATACATGTTTCGATGCTGTTCTCTCGAAATATCCCACCCTCGCCTTCTCCCACAGAGTCCAAAAGTCTGTTCTGTACATCTGTGTCTCTTTTTCTGTTTTGCATATAGGGTTATCAATTGCTTTACAATGTTGTTCATTTCTGCTGTGCAACAACATGAATCAGCTATATGTATACATGTATCCTCTCCTCTTGAACTTCCCTCCCACCTGACGCCTTTACTTTTTAAAATTTACTTTAGAATTATTTAAAATTTGCTTTAGCATTATTTTTCCCTGTTAAATAACACTATCTCACCAGGAGATGCAGATTCAACAAGTCTTAATACATATAAAGTGACCATTACAGTGGCTGCTAAGGTAAATATTCAGCAAAGTTAATTATTACTTTTAAGTGGCAAAAGTCCAATTCCAACTGTCTTTAGAAAAAAGACTCTAAGGGTTCATGTAACTGATAAACCTGGGGCAGAGCTGGACTAAGAGGTCTAAGTGGTACTCTGTCTCCTAGACACTGGACGACACCGGCCATCCAGGACTCAGTTTCTAAGTTTAAAACCCCTGAAGAGGAGAAGACTTCCCTGTCAGTCCAGTGGTTAAGAATCTGCGCTATCACTGCAGAGGGGCACAGGTTCGATCCCTGGTCAGGGAACTAAGATCCCAGTTACCTACAAGGTATGGCCAAAAATAAATAAGATGGAGAAAGAGCATCATCTTAAAAGCAAAAGAATGTCTTAAAACAAACAAATAAAACCCTGAAGAGAAGAAAGCATCTTCTTTCTTCTCCCCATAGCTCTAGCTGAGAAGTCTTGGGGGACGTTCTAGCTGTTAGCTTTTGTCAAGCAAACATCTCTGAGCCAAACACTCTAGTGGGAGTGGATGTGCTGTCCTTGTTCCCCTGTGGTCAGTCAGCCTCACCTGCTCAATATGGAAGTGATTCTGTCTTTAGAAGACTGAGGAGGAGACACTGCTTGAAAAAGCAAAAACAAAAAGTAGGTGATACTGTATTTCCTTATGTTTCAAGTTCTTTGAGGTTCTTCTTTGTTGCTTCTACATCTAGCCTATGTTATTAGTAAGTCCCTATTGAAAAATCAAAAAGTTGGATTGCCAGACTTTTCCCTTGCCCATTGGGTCAGAGTTCATTTGCAGATAGTGGAAACCCCTGTGGGTTTCCATAAGAGGAAACCCCTCTTATGCTGAGAGGGGTACAAGACCACGTATTAGGGGATTCAGTGCTGAGAAACTGTGAGAAATGGAAGAGCAGACTCTAAGCTGAGTATCCGGACAGGACTCCCAGAACAACACACAGAACTGGTCTGCCAGAGCCACTAAGCAGTCAAACAGACACTGTTCCATTCACGAGCTCCGTGTCCAACTGTCTCCTGTGTGGTTTGGAAAGTAAGAAGCTGCCATCTTGACTGTTGGCTCCAGGACGTCATCACCTCAGCCATGCTCCTTGGTAGCAAAACCGATGCCCTCTACTCTGCCTGTGATCACCTGGGCCCCCTCTACTTCTGCTATGGAAAGGCCAAACATTTCCATGCTGGCTGGGAGCACATAGGGACAAGTGGCTCCTCAGTAGCGGCTGGGGAATGAAGTCTTCATTTTCTAGGCCCCAGCGCTCACTGGGTGTAGCTATAAGAGGGTTGGAATGGGATGGAGTGAGCCAGGCCACCAAGGAAGAACGCTGGGAAGACAACCTCTACCACCAACTTATGCGTCATGGTGGAAGTGGGAAAGGGTATTTTTGTAACCCTCCAAAAGGTTATAATCTTTAATCTATAAAGGATATCATCTTCCTCTAAAGCACAGGTCGCAACTATAAACACACACACAAATAGATACGAACTGATACATGCATATGTGTATGTATGTATATACGTGTATGTGTGTGTGAGTCGTCCAGTCACGTCTGACTCTTTGTGACCCCATGGACTGTAGCTCACCAGGCTCCTCTGTCCATGGAATTCTCCAGGCAAGAATACTGGAATGGGTTGCCATTTCCTTCTCCAGGGGATCTTCCTGACCCAGGGATCAAACCTGCATCTCCTTGCATCTCCTATGCCTCCTGCATTGGCAGGTGGGTTCTTTACCACCAGCGCCACCTGGGAAGCCCCAATAAATATATATGTATATGTGTCTGTATTTTTCTCATTTTACTGGTTGTCACTAGGTTATCAAAAAGCTTACCACACACCAGTTCTGGGTCGGTGAAGTAGTCTTGGGGAAATCTTGTTCTTCTGGGTGGACAGAAAAAAAAGCAAAAGATTAAATTCAAATAGGTGATTTTTTTACTACTATATAATCAGCTTGTCTGTTTTTGGTATGAGAGAACCTGAAATACATTTGGTAGGGTGCTGTTCGAATTATATTGATACAAGAGTTATTCTAATTTATTCGTGCCTTCCTTCCTTCACTTCTGCCTTCCATCACTTCTCCCTTACCATCACATTGTTCTAACTTCCCACACCTGGGCCTGCTTCTCCCAGGTTGTTTTCTCTTGCCCTCTAACTTCTGTGTTTTCCTACTCCCCAGCTATTACTTAGGCACCGGGATGCATATCAGGCTGGATCCGTGTTTCCTGACTCATTTTACCCTAGCATCTGTGAGAGAGGTAAGATGAAGACTTACAGACGAGATAATGTTGCTTTCCCTTGGTTGATAGGAATAGCTCAGACTCAAAAAAAGATCAAACAACACATTGTATTTTCCACTGTTGTTGATCAATGACTTAGTTTGGTTATGTTTTCCATTTAACCGAAATTTACTTGCTTAAGGGTAGAAATTCTGAAAGCTTTATTCTAAGCACCCTGACTTACTCTCCTGCTTCGTGGCAGAAGAGAGAACATTTTGAAGGAAATCAAAAGGTTCGAGTTTTTATTCCTTGGATGTTATCTGTTAGCATGTGCCCTTGAAAAAGCCCCTTCCATGCTGAGTCTCAGTTTCCATGTTTGCAACATAGTAATATCTAAATTAATTACTATTTAATAGTAATAATTAACGCATGCCTGGCTGCTATACTGAATTGCTGTTGGCATTAACATAGGTTATTTTGTCAAGTGTGATGCAAACCCAAGATAATATTAAGTTAAATGTGCTTCAGTTATATTTGAAACAAAAGTGGTTAGGCTATTTTTAGTTTAATAATGATCTAAAAAATTTGACTTGAGGGATCTGAACTCTGGGATTTTGCTTTTGATTGCTGTTATGACATATTACACTCCATGAAGAATCTGGCATTTGAAGGTTTAGAATAGATGTCAGTTCCTGTTTTTTTCCACACATCCTTCCTGTGGGAATAAAGAGGCATATAGCACACCCCGTTTAAAAGTATTATAAATTCAAATACTTGAAAGCTGTTGGAATATCTGCTTTTTTCTTTTGTGCTGTTAGGGAGGCTGGCTGTGATGGAAAAGATTTAAAACCCGCCCCCCTCCCCCCAAAAAATAATAGGGACAGCTTATTTCTTTAGCTTTAGGGTACAGAACTTAACACTTCCAGCTTCTCTTGCAGCCCAGCTAGTTCTAGATGCTATGAGCAGTTAAGGCTCCTTTTTCTTTTGGCTGGCTGTTCTGACCTAGAGGCTTCCTTTGAATATTGACTCAGGAAACTAAGAGGCTTGGAGGGAAGCCGAAGGAACGCAGCAACACAGCAAGTGGTGGTGGAATATTTCATTGAGAATCTCCAACTTTTTAAGAAAATTTGGGTATAGTTGTTTTACAGTGTTGTGTTGGTTTCTGTTGTATGTTGAAGTGAATCAGCTATTTTTATACACATATCCCCTTTTTTGTATTTCCTTTCCATTTACGTTACCATAGAACACCAAGTAGGGTTCCTTGTGCTATATAGCAGGTTCTCATTAGTTATGTCTTTTGTACATATTAGTGTCTATATGTCAGTCCCAATCTCCCAGTTCATCCCCTGCTTCTCTTGGTATCCATAAGTTTGTTCCCTACATCTGTGTCTCTATTTCTGCCTTGCAAACAGGTTCATCTGTACCATTTTTCTAGATTGCATGTTTATATATTAATAGACGATTTTCTCTTTCTGACTTACTTTGTAGGATAGTCTTTAGGTTCATCCACATCTCTACTAATGACCCACTTTCGTTCCTTTTTATGACTGAGTAATATTCCATTGTTCAAATCGACACAAGTACACCAGTGTTTGTTGAAGCACAATTTACATTAGCAAAGACATAGAAACAATCTAAGTGTCCACTGACAGATGAATGGATGAAGAGAGATGTGGTATGAATATACAAGAGAATCTTCAGCCTTTTAAGAAGGACCTCTGAGAGTTGCTTCTGTTTTGTCAGGACAATTCCATGACGTGTCAGAGAGCACTCACTGGACTCCATTTCTTAATGCAAGCATTCATTATATCCGGAAGAACCATCCTCTTCCCTGGGATGAGGTAGGCACAGCCTCTAACCCTAAAAATACTCAGTTCCAGACTTGCCAAATACTATCGTTGCAGCTGCATTAACTCCATTTCTAACCCCAACCCTTAAATCCAGATTCTGAGGGCTACTCACCCTTCTGCCTCAATGCCAAACACAGCATATGGAACATAGTAAATAGCTAGTTAACACGTGAATAAATGATTTTTCAAAATTTACATCTTCAGTTTTATTTTCAACAAGCAATGTTTTTAAAATTTGGGGCATGTCACTCGGTTGTTTTGCTCCCCTAGTGAATAAATCTGAAAGCAGTTTCAAGGCACTCAGAAACACTTCAAAAAAAGTCCTTTGTGGTTCGGGGGTAACTACAACATACATGTCTCTGATGTTTTGTTAAGTCTCAGTAATGGAAATGAATTCATATTTATTAATCCTTTTAATAAGATTGCTATAAAATAACTACCTTCTCCCTACCCCCAACTCTAATTTGCTTATTTGGCAGGACACAGAGAAATTGATAGCTTTCTTGTTTGGAATTACATCTCACATGGTGGCTGATGTCAACTGGCATAGCCTGGGTATTGAACAAGGATTCCTCAGGACGATGGCTGCCGTGAGTACATAGCTTCAGGTTAATGACTTTGTGGGAACGATACTGTCCTACCCAAGATTCAAAACTGACTCTTTTAGGATAGTTAGGAACTTTGTTAAGGTTATGTACACACCGCTATATTTAAAATGGATAATCAACAATGTTATGTGCCAGTCTGGATGGGAGAGGGGTTGAAGGGAGAATGGATACATGTATATGTATGACTGAGACCCTCCACTATTCACCTGAAACTACCACAACATTGTTAATCGGCTATACCTAAATACAAAATGTTTTCGGTGCTAAAAAAATGAAATTAAAAAATTTTTAAAAAAACTGACCATTTTCGGAAAAGGAAAACTTTAGGTTATTCAGATTCACATGGAAATAAGACTCTTTGCTCAATGCAGTATTCATTAGATTTCCATCTTTTCTTGTTCATTACTCTTACACATTTGCTACCTGTGTAAATTGATCCATGTGGGCAGATTGACTAATGTGCCCTGAAAACATCCATAGATGTCATGTTCTGCTTAGTCACAAACAATATTTGAGAAATTTTATGTTTTATTCAAGCTGTACATCTTTAATAGAGGTATAAACCCCTACTATCTGGTTTTATTTAAAAGTAAGTTAACATGCTTTTGTTTTTTTTTTTTTCCTTTTTCCTTTTCTATATGAAAATGCCATATCCCCACTGAAAACTGTGACCTTACCTGATGAAAGTCCCCTCTGGCTATTCATTGATATTAATACTATCCTGTAAAAAATTTAAACTTGCACTTAGAGATTGTTCATGTATCCTGTTAGATACAAACGTTTGCAGCAGCTTTATCTATTAAGACATGAAGCATATAACTCAGCTGCCAGTATCTTTTTTTTAAAAAACAAATAATAAAATTAAATATTTCTTTGAAAAGTGAGTCCAGTCACTACACGTCCTCAGTAGCCATTGGATCCCACGCATTGCTTCATTGCGGGGTAAGAGTTTGGGCTTCAATTTGTGATATATATTGAATGGTTCTCTTTTTTCCCTCAGATTGATTTTCACAATTCCTATTCCGAGGCACATCCGGCTGGTGATTTCGGTACTATTTATTTACATTTGCCAGATTGTCTTTCATGGTAGTTATATTTCACTTGTAGTCACTATTGTACCTTATGTATGTATGTTTTTAGTTTCTTGCCACTAGCTTTCTATTTTAATATTGCAATTGTTTAAATTTTGTAAAAACCAAACAAAAAAATGGGGATTTCCCTGGTGGCTCAGTGGTTAAGAAGTCTCTGCGCTTCCATTGCAGGGGGCTCAGGTTCAATCCCTGATCAGGGAGATTCCACATGCCTTAAGGTGCAGCCAAAAAAAGAAAAAAACAACTAAAAAAACACCATTATATTTTATCATTGACTTGTGCCATTTTAGAAAAGCATTACTTTTAAAATCAGATTTAAATTCATTGCCTAGTGTCTCCTAATACTTTAGCTTTAAATGGAAAAACTATCATTTTTCTATATTTAATTACCTTTAAATATTCACAGTAATGGTGAGTAGTGTTTATTTAAATAGAAGAATCTTTATGGTCCATCTTAAAGTAAAAAAAAAAAAACTTTTGGTTATATGAGTTTCTTTATTCTCTTAATTCTCTTTCTTAATTCATGTGTTTCACTAAGATTTTAAAAGATCATTTTTTTCTTAAAGATATGCCTATGCAACTAAAATAATGAACAGAAACCTATAACAGTGTGAAGAACTAATAAACTGGATTGTGCAAATTTATGTTCAAAGAAGCTTGCTATGTATTGTCATTAATTCTCCAAAAGCAAATATTTTTCTCATATCATAGGAGGAGACGTGTTGAGCCAGTTCGAGTTTAAATTTAATTACCTCTCACGGCACTGGTAAGAGCAATGTATATTTAAATATGTGATACCCAAGTGGCAGTTAGGAGCTTGACTCTTTTTTTTCCTTAGAAAGTAAAACTTACGATGTAATAAGGAGCCTTCTACATTTGTACATGTTGGAAAGCATAATTAAAGATTAGTCTAAATAGATTCTTTTAAAAATCTGTGAATTATGCCAAACATATAAAATAATGTATTTTTTATAAATAAAAAATACTGTATAGCTGCCAGCTACCTTAAGAAGTAGATCATTGCTGGAATATAGAGGCTCCCTGCCTTTCCTTCTGTTGTATCCCCTTTTCTCCCGCTAGGTATAACCATAACCTTAGGTTCTCTTAATCACTTAGTCGCTTTTCCCTTAGAGTTTTACTACATGTAGCCATATCCATGGGGCTTCCCAAGTGGTACCAGTGGCAAAGAACCCACCTGTCAATGCAGGAGACATAAGAGACGTGGGTTTGATCCCTGGGTCGGGAAGGTCCCCTGGAGTAGGAAATGGCAACCCACTCCAGCATTCAACCCATTCCAGAAATTTCACAGACAAAGGAGCCTGGTGGGTTGCGGTCCGTGTGGTCGCAGAGAGTCAGACACAGCTGAGCACATAAGCACAGTCATATCTGTATGCAAAATATTATATGGGTTTTTACTTTAAATAGAATTATACATCATGCATTTTGCTTAAAATTAAATGTTAAATTAGAATTTAATTTTAAAATGTTTCTTGTTTAAAATTATTTCCCTGACATGTAATCATATTGATGTGTTCAGCAATAGTCCATTGATTTTCACCACTGTATGGTCCTCCCTTCTGTAAATCTGCCAATATGACTTGATTCTAGCGCTGGATGTGTAAGTAGTGTTAAGTGTTTTTGCTTTACACATCATGTTGCTGTGTACATTTTTGTACATGTATTTTTGCACTAGAGGGGAATCTCTTTCAAGTAAATGGTACCAGAAGTGGAACTGTTGGGCCATAGGATTTAGGCACGTTTAACCTAAATAAAGAATCCCTGGCTGTCATTTAGAATGGTCCTCTCAATTTGTATTCCCATCAGCTTTGTTCTCCTTCTGTGTTCTTGAATACTTGGTATTGTCCAGCTTTAAAATTCTTCTAACCTATTTGGTATAAAATGGTATCTCCTTAAAGTTTTAATTCTCATTTTCCAGGTTACTGTTATAATAAGTTTGAATATTCTTTCATATTTTATCAATTGTATTTCATTTTAAGTGAGAAACTTGTTTGGTTTTTAGCCTATTTTTCTGTTGGGTTTTCCTTTTTATTTCTGAGTGTTCTTGGTATATTCTGGGTTCAATCTTTTGTCAGTTTATCAATTATTTGATATAAATATCTTTTAATAGTTTGTGGCATGTCTTTTTACTTATGGTATATCTTGGTAAATAGAATTTATTAATTTTAGTGTAGTTGAATGTATCAATCTCTTCCTTTGTAATTTGTACTTTTGACATCTTATTTAAGAAATCCTTTCCTACCTTGAGGGCATGAGGTTATTCTCCTACATAGCCTTCTAAATATTTTATAGTTTCATTTTTTTTCTTTTTTCTAATTTATTTTCTAAATTGTAGGATAATCGCTTTACAGTATTGTTGGTTTCTGCCATATATCTGTATGAATCAGCCATAGGTGTACCTATATCCCCACCCTCTTGAATCTCCCTCCCACCCCTTCCCACCCTTCTAGGTTATCACAGCATGGTTTCATTTCTTAACTTTAGATCTTTAATTTACCTGAAGTTAATTTTTTGTATATTCTGTGATAGAAATTTTATTTTTTTCCTACAGAGATAACTGATTGTCTCAGAACCATTTATCAATAGTCTGATCTTCACTTATTTGCAATGTTCTCTCTGACATAAAATTCCATGTGTATGTGGGTCAGTTTCTGGGCTTTCTAACATGTTTTCTTGGCCTAATTGGCTATTCCTGAGCAATACTGAGTTTTAAAACTAAAACAGCTTTAATACATTTTGACATCTATCAGGGCTGATTTCCCAGCCTGTCCTTTTTCTTCAAATGTACCTTGAAGAAGTGTACCTTTCTTCAAAGGTATACACCTCACCTGATTTCATGAATCAGGTGAGGAGTTTATCTTCCTTTGCTGTTTTCTGGGAGTTTGTGTAAGATTATAACTTTGATTTCTTGAATGTTTGGTAGAACTTGTCTATAAAGCCAGATGTTTTAAAAAGTAGTGACTTTTGGTTTTAGGACTGTACTGTTTTTCAGTTTATTCTTAAAGAGTTATTATTTTTCTAGGACTTTTCTATTTTGTCTGAGTGTTTAAACATTTTGGCTTAAGGGAGTTCATAATAATATCCTCATTTTTCCCTCCTCATTTTATTTGTACTTCGGTTTGTTTGGTATCTACAATGTTATTTATTGTGCCTTCTCTCATATTTTTAAACAGTTAATCATGTCTAATATTTTTCAGTTTTATTATTGAAAAAAACTTTTGGCTTTATTGATCCTATCTTTTAATACTATATGTTCTTTTTCTCTTTCATTACTTTTTCTTATATTTATTTTTTTCCTTCTACTCTTTGGTTCCTGTGAAATTTGAGTCTTGATTTTAAGGTCTACCAAATGATTAATTTTTATCTATTAGCATTTATTTAATTATATATTACTAATTTTTCATCTGTACTTGAAAAGAATGTTAATTCTCCAATTTGTGGTTTAACATTTTGTATATATGTGTATTAGCTCAAGTTTTTTAAATGTACTGCTCAGATCAGAAGATTCATAAGTTTTAAATAATAAAATCTTACTACTTTTATCTGGACAGTCTCACAATTACTGAGAAATTTATTTAAAAATCTCCTCCTATGATGATGAAATTTTTTGGTTTCTCCTTATAGTTAGGTCAAAGTTTGCTATACATGTGTTTGAACACATGTTAAGTACATTCACGTTTTCAAATCTCATGTCTTTCTGGTGAATCGAGCTTTCTATCTGGTGGTTGTCTTTATATTTTACAATACTTACTGCCTTCAAGTCCGATTTATCGGATACTACTGTTGGATACACTGTTGTTTTTTCTTCACATGTTTTCTAAGCAGACGGAAGGTGATATAACTGTCCCTCAGCCTTAGTCTGAGTATGGAGAGCTGGAAGCAGGGAGGGATGCTTACAGAACAAAGAACTAGAGCTGGGGGCCTGGCAAGTTGCCCATTCCCATCCCTGGTCCAGCTGCCTCAGAGCTAAGGGAGACCCAGAACCAGCAGGTCACTCTCAAGGCAGATGAGGACAACTGGCCTTTGGATGCCCCGGGAAGAGTTGGCAGCGGCAGAGACCTGAGGTTCCCCGCCAACTCTCTGCACAGGGTGCTCTGCCCCGGATGAGATGCCCATTTCACATTGTACATCACCCGGGATCTGGTCTTCTTTCAGTTTTATTCAGTGATGCGTGAAGGCTTGAAGGTCCTCAAGGCTTGCGTTACAGTTGCATTTCTCCAGGGAAGGCTTGTCTTACCTTCTGCAGGCTACCTCAAGGCACTATTAACTGGAACCACATTAAATGATATTCAACCCTGGAAGTTTTTCTGACCACACAGATAGCATGAATGCGAGACAAAATATTTGTAGGGTTGGGTAGTGGTTACCGATTCTAGGGACGAGATAGCTTTCCCTCTCTCTCTCCATTTCTAAGATGAAGACAGAGGTTTCTTTGCTGTGCTTGTTAGTGTGTTGAATTTATTTCTGGCTAATACTCATGCAGAAGGTATAGCCTTTAATGAGGTGTTTCCTGTGAGAAATGGCCCACTTTGGCTGATTCCTATCCTTTAGCTCTTGTCTCCTGTATGCCATACAACTATCCAAAAAGAAAAAAAAAAGCCTCCTAGGTTCCCAGGTTTAGCAGATGTCTCCAGAGCAAAAACTGGCTTTCCCACTCACTAACCTGTCAAAGTTTCCAGTTCCAACTTATTTTTGGCCATTGGAAAAATTTCACTTTCTTGCTAGCTTGGTGATTCATCTAAAAAAATATTTTGTTAGGCTTTTTGCTAGACTTTTAAGCTATATTTAGGAGAAGACCATTCTGGTGTGCTTGTAAAGTGAAAAATGGACATCTCAATAGATTCCTTCTTATAGATACACTAAATTAGGTTTTGTTTGTATTTACATTTATATCTGGTATAATCTAAAGTTTCTTAAATAAAGATAAATGATAACAGTATAAACCTAATTTTTTAAATGTGGCTTTTCCTCCAACTGAAATAACTAATATCTCTGAATCAAAAGCTTGACTTAGAATTCTTTTTTACTACCTACCACTGTGTATTCTGAAAGTAGGATGTTGGGATTAGGAGTTATTTTGGAGTGTTTTTTAAAAAATGATTCCTGAGAGTGATTCAACTCAAAAGAATAAAAATATCTTCTATTGCTCTTTGAACTCTGAATTTACAAAACTAAACATTCCTTTTATTTGTTGTTGTTGTTCAGTCTCTAAGTCCTGTCTGACTTTGTGACCCCATGGACTGCAGCGTGCTAGGCTCCCCTGACCTTCATTATCTCTTGGAGTTTGCTCAAATTCATGGCCATTGAGTTGGTAATACGATCTAAACATCTCATCTTCTGCAAGCCACCCCCCCACCCAACCCTCTTTTTGCCTGCAGTCTTTGCCAACATCAAGGTCTTTTCCAGTGAGTCACCCTTCGAATCATGTGGTCAAACTATCGGAGCTTCAGCTTCAGCATCAGTCCTTTCAGTGAATATTCAGTGTTGATTTCTGTTAGGACTGACTGGCTTGATCTCCTTGCAGTCCAAGCGACTCTCAAGAGTCTTTTCCAACACCACGATTCATAACATCGATTCTTTAACACTCAGCCTTCTTTGTGGTCCACCTCTCACATCTGTACATGACTACTGGAAAAATCATAACTTTGACAATATACACCTTTGTCAGCAAAGTGATATATCTGCTTTTAATATGCTGTCTAGGTTTGTCACAGCTTTCCTTAAAGGAGGAAAGGAGCAAGCATCTTTTAATTTCATGGCTGCAGTCACCATCTGCAGTGATTTTTGGAGCCCAGGAAAATAAAATCTGTTACTACTTCCAGTTTCCCCACTTCTGTTTGCCGTGAAGTGATGGGACCAGATGCCATGATCTTAGTTTTTTTGAATGCTGAGTTTTAAGCCGGCTTTTTCACTCTCCTCTTTCACCCTCATCAAGAGGCTCTTTAGTTCCTCTTGACTTTCTGCCATTAGAGTGGTATCATCTGCATATCTGAGGTTGTTGATATTTCTCCTGCTTCTCTTCTTTCCTTGCCTATTTGTAAAGCCTTCTCAGGCAACCACTTTGCCTTCTTGTGTTTCTTTTTCTTTGGGATGGTTTTGGTCACTGCCTCCTGTGAAGTGTTACAAACCTCCATCCATAGTTCTTCAGACACTCTGTCCACTAGATCTAATCCTTTGAGTCTATTCATCACCTCCACTGTATATCATGAGGGATTTACTTTAAGTCATACCTGTATGGTCTAGTGGTTTTCCCTACATTCTTCAATTTAAGCGTAACTTTTGCAATAAGGAGCTCATGATCTGAGCCACAGTCAGCACCTAGTCTTATTTTTGCTGACTATATAGAGTTTCTCCATCTTCAGCTGCAAAGATATAATCAATCTGATTTCAGTATTGACCATCTGGTGATGTCCATGTATAGAGTCTTCTCTTGTGTTGTTGGAAAAAGGTGTTTGCTATGATCAGTGTGTTCTCTTGATAAAAATCTCTTAGTCTTTATCCTGCTTAATTTTGTACTCCAAAGTCAAACTTGCCTGTTTCTCCAGGTATCTCTTAACTTCTGTTTTTGCATTCCAGTCCCCGATGATGAAAAGGACATCTTTTTTTGGTGTTAGTTCTAAAAGGTCTTGTAGGTCTTCATAGAACTGTTCAGCTTCTTTGGCATTAGTGGTTGGAGCATAGACTTGGATTACTGTGATGTTGAATGATTTGCCTTGAAAATGAACTGAGGTCATTCTGTCATTTTTGAGATTGCACTCAAGTACCACATTTCAGACTCTTTTGTTGACTATGAGAACTACTCACAGTTTCTTATATTTGTATAAATAAGTGTAAATCACAACTCACAGTCTAAATTATTGCTTATGTTGCAGGTATGCGGAGATGTTAGCTATTTCCAAGGTAAAGGAATTTATTCTTCAAAATCTGAATTGAAAGTATTATAAAGATACCATGAGAAGCACTTGATTCAGTTGTTTATTAGATTATTTTTCTTTCTCTTTGCCTTAGCTTTATCCCACTTATTCTGGAAAATCCCCATTTTTGGTGGAACAATTTCAAGAATACTTCCTAGGAGGGCTGGATGATATGGTGTTTTGGTCCACTAATATTTACCGTCTGACAAGTTACATGTTAAAGAACGGGACCAGGTGAATTGTTACTCTTTCTCCTATCAGTCACTCCCTGTATTGCTATTCCATCACCATCACAAAACCCAGGTTTTTCAGTTGATCAAATGAGGACAAAGTCTCAGGAAGTGCTGTCATGTCCTAATGAAGCAAGGAAAGAATGGAAGCTGTCACCTCAAAACTCCAACTCGCTCCCATCTGGTTGGGTTTGCTGATGTCTCTCCTGTCCTAGGGATGGAGAGGTAGATTTTGCCAAGTTCATGGCCTGGGAGAAATGGCCCAGGTGGGAAGGAATCCGCTTCCCCAGCTCTGCAACATCTGTTTCTTGTAGGAGACCCCATGCTGTGGGCTGGGGTGCCCACCTCCCCAAGCTCCAGCAGTGGATACGGGCATCTTCCTCTCCACACCAATTGAGCTCTCAGGGCTTCAGGGTTTCAAAGGGCACTTCACTTAAGCCTCATACTCCTAAAGAAAATCAGAAATGAAGACATTTGTAAGACATAGCCTTCTGTTGGAATTTGACATGCAGCCCCAATGGGAGAGCATCTCAACTTCTAGCTCCTTTTCTGTTCCGCCCCAGCACGCCCAGAGTGAATGTCAACCAGAGACTCAGATGCAGACCAGGGCAGACTGGTCTTGTCCCCAGTTCCAACTGCAACATTAGACATTTCGGCTCTAACAGGATCTGCTCATGGTCTGAGGGAGCCGAGGTTCTCTCATAACCGATTTCCAGCCGCACCACTCAGGATGGAGTCCCTCCCATGCTGCTGAACTGGGCAGGGTAGGGCTGGGTCTGGATAGGGATCACTGGAAGCAGATCTTCTGCAGGGCAAGGACAGCTTAAGCATCAGCCAGCAGGGGGAAAGAGGGTCTGTGGCAGCTCCTCTGTCCATGGGATTTTCCAGTCTTCCTCTCCCTCCGAATAGTCTTCATCCTAGAATAAACTCTTTCGTAATCACCACTCTCTTAGTGCTTCTGTTTGGTGTTAAGGAGAAAATTCACGTCTTACATTCTATCAGAGCCTTTTTACTTGTAAACAGGGAGACTTAGTTACCTACTTAATTATTGAGTTTGTAAATTTTTGTTTTTAATTTTTATTAAAGCAAAGGTTAGATGTGCTGCAGCTATTTTTACATGTTTTTTTGGCTGTGCCCAGTGGCTTATGGCATCTTAGCTCCCCAACCAGGGATGGAACCTGGGCCCACGGCAGTGAAAGTGCAGTCCTAGCCACTGGAACACCAGGGAATTTTATTTTAAAAATTAAAGAAAAAAATTATTTGGCTGCACTGGTCTTAGTTGTGGCACTCAAGATCTTTGATTGTAGTTGCAGCGTGTGGGATCTAGTTCCCCAACCAGGGATTGAACCCAGGCCCCCTGCACAGGGAGTGTGAAGTCTTAGCCGGGAAATCCCCACCAGGCAATTTGAAATTTTAGCTTTGAAAGGAATGAGACTGAGAAATTATAACAGCAAACATCGATGGGCAGAAGGTGCCACAGTTGGGAGTGATTTTCTTTCCGTCTCTAGCTCTGAGATGGTTCCTGTCAGCAGGGAGAACTCAGCAGATGGAATTGGGAGGGAAGGGGGAAGCTGAGTCTGGGGGTGACCAGTGGTGGGGTGTGACCTGTTATCATGATACCACCTGCTTATCCACCCCCATCAAGTAGGACTCAGGCCCTTCGCCAGTCCTGTCTGGCTAAGTCATAAACACCTCTACACTAAGACTTCGGGGAGACGGTTTGAAATGTGACACTGATTCTCAGAAAAATTCATGCTTGAAAAGAAGGTAGAAAAACGCCTAACTCATTTGACTATTTCCCTAGTAACTGCGACCTCCCTGAGAACCCTCTGTTCATCACATGTGGCGGTCAACAAAACCACACCCAGGGGTAAGTGGATTCCCAAATGACTCACAGAAAAAGAACATCTCACACAGAGGAGTGCTCTGTAGACTCTGAAAGCATGGGCTTTGTAGACAGAGGTTCCAGCTCCAGGGCTGCCATTGTGTGATTTTGAAACAAGTTGCCTAATTATTTTTTGAGCTGCAGCTTCCTCTGGCAAACTGGAAAAAACACATATCCATACTCCCAGAGTTGTGGTGTGTGCGTGAGTGGATAGAAAGCAATTACCGCCTTAGTAAGGCTTCCGAGGTGATGCCAGTGGTAAAGAACCTGCCTGCCAGTGCAGGAGATGCAGGAGACGTGGGTTTGAGCCCTGGATCAGGAAGATTCCTTGGAGAAGGAAATGGCAACCCACACCAGTATTCTTGCCTGGGAAATTCCCACGGACAGAGGAGGCTGACGGGCTACAATCCATGGGGTTACAAAAGAGTTGGACGCGACTGAGTGAGTTGCTCACTAACTAGTAAATGATAGGTAATCATATTATTATCATTACCATTATTGCCATTACTCATAAACTGTGACCGTATTCTTCCCTGAAAAAGTAATTTTTAATGATACTGGGTGGGAGACGCCCTCTCAGTTTCTGAGGAAGAGAGCCAGAGGGTCTGATCTGTATTCTCTGAGGTGGTGCTCCCTGCTGGAGTTGAGTACCAACCATTTATTCATGGATTTAATAACCGTATTAATCCTGTAAATATTATATTGCTAATAAGATAGCACAAACTATATTATGTCCTCATCATTAGGTACCAGGAACTAGTTTAGGCGTTTAGAGACCTCATTGTGAACAAGACAGAAAGAGCTTCTGCTCTCAGAGGATGGATGGCCTGGCAGGTGGACAGATGGTCACTGAACGGGAACTTGTCAGTACCCTTGAGCGTTAGGAAGGGCAGGCACTGGGCGCTCATGATGTACCACAGTGTATCCTGACTCAGTCACAGGAGACTTCGTGTGAAGAGTTGATGCTTCAGCCAAAATATTTAAGGGTGAGCAAGTGTTAGATACTCGAAAGGAAAAACATTGCAATAAAAGAGAGAGTTCAGAGCTTCAAAAGAATTGAAAATGTGCAAAAAAAGTTCAGGTAAGTCCTCACTGTTTAAGTTATTCAAATTAGATAAGTTTTGTTTTAATATAACTCCTTGTCTTTAGGTTGGATTTAAGAACTCTAGATTGTTGGGGGTCCCTACACAGTCTGATGTCTTAGGCCCTCTTTGTTCATCTGTGGCCCATCTGTAAGCATTTCTGAAACCTACTTGGCTTTTTAGGCTTCTGATATGTAGACTTGTTAAAACATAGTATTTAAAAATGTATTTTTATTGTGTAATTCTCCCATGTCTTTAAAGCAAAATCAGTCCACTCACATACCAGTTTCCTGAACAACTGTGACCATGTCTTGGCCATTAATACGAAATGTTGGTTTAACTTCTGATTTTTTAAAGTAATCTGGAAAGAATCCAAACTCATACACTTAAAGAACTTTGAGGCTATAGGAAATATTTTTGTAAGGATTGGCTTTTTCAACCTTGGAAATGGGTTTATTAAAAGATGCTGTGGAATAGCCTATAGAAGTTTTCCTAAAATTTTGCTTTTTGTGTTGCTGTTCGTTCAGCTTGCAGATGTTAAAATTTTATGACCTTTTAACCTGGGGTTAATTTGATTACATCTTCAACTCAGTTATTCAGGGTGAGTTGCTGTTTCCTCAGTCTTAACTGTTTCATTCCTCTCTCTCTCTCAGCAGCTCAAAAATACAGAAGAATGGTTTTCATAAAAATGTGACTGCAGCCCTAACTAAAAATATTGGAAAGCATATAAACTATACCAAAAGAGGAGTGTTCTTTAGTGTGGATTTCTGGACCATGGTAAGAATTTTCTGCTTTAAATTGAGAGGTACATTCTGCTTCCTGTGATATTGCGTTTTGTAGGATCACTGGCTGTTTAATCGTTCATTGAAAGTCACCTGGGCATGAGCCAGGCTCACAGGTATCCTTGGTCTTCAAGTCTGGTTTGTTCTGGAGACATCCTATGTTGAAGGCCTGAGCCTCAGTGGCCTTTGGAAAGCCCAGGGGAGCTCAGGTGGCCCTTGGGTCACTCCTGCTCTGTCCTTAGAGCAAAGTATGTCAGCAGTATTGTAGGCTCATAGTGCAAAGCCCCACACCAAGGGCAGACCACTGCCTATCAAGTTCCTCCATGAGATCATCGTAAGTGTCAGCCATTCTACTGGGGGGATACAAGAGATGAAAGGGGAATAGGCTCTGATGTTTAGAAAATTTTAATCTAATGGGGTGATAAATACAAAACTAACCATTTCTGAGTAAGATGCAACTAATACCATGGTTGGTGGGAGGAGAGACACAGCCTCTTAGATTAAAAAAAAAAAAAAAATTATGTAACTGCCATCAGAGAAGGTTTCATGCAGAAGCTGGAATCTGAGTTAGGCCTTGAATAGTAACCAACTGACAGTTTTTCATCATTGAGCATGTATTCCTGGTAATGGGTTAGGAAAGTTTCAGGATGTTTGGAAATTTGAGCAGTCTTATTTGCCTGGAACACAGGACAAGGAATCAGAGTACTTGCGAGAATCGGGAAGGGAAACTGGCATCAGATTGTAGAGAAGGGTGTAAACGCTTTTGTGACCTGGGCGGGGGTCCCAGTACAGCTGGCTTCACAGTGTGTGGCCCGTGCAGTCATGTAGAAGGTCCCCTTCGTCATGCTTAGAAGGGCCCCCTACTTGGTTTATTTATTCATTTTAAAGTTTTTAATATTTGTTTATTTGGCTGCACTAGATCTTAGTTGCTGCATGTGGGATCTAGTTCCCTGACCAGGGATTGAACTGATGCCCCATGCATTGGGATCATGAAGTCTTAGCTACTGGACTACCAGGGAAGTCCGACCCCATATTTGCTTTAATGTTCTGCTGTTATTGCCTTAAAATTCTTACCCTTTTTAAATTTGAATCTTATTTTATATTGAAGTGTAGTTGATTTACAATGTTGTGTTACTTTCAGGTATATAGCTAAGTGATTTAATTATACATATACATATATAGCCCTTCTTTTTCAAATTCTTTTCCTGTGTAGACTATTACAGAATATTGAGTTCCCTGTATGATGTAGTAGGTCCTTGTTGATTATCTATTTTATATATAGCAGTGGGTATGGGTTGTTTCCAAACTCTTAATTTTCCCTTCCCACACTGTTTCCCCTCTGGTAACCCTAAATTTGTTTTCAAAGTCTGTTAGTCTGTTTCCGTTTTGTAAATAAGTTCCCTGTATCATTTTTTGAAGATTCCATTTATAATATCATATGATATTTGTTTTTCTCTGTCTGATTTACTTCACCTTGTATGATAATCTCTAGGTCCATCCATCTGGCTGCAAATGACATTATATCATTCTTTTTTTATGGCTGAGTGTGTAAATATATATATATATACACACACACCACATCTTCTTTATTCATTCTTCTGTCGATGGACATTTAGGTTACTTCCATATCTTATAATCTCTAGGTCCATCCATCTGGCTGCAAATGACATTATATCATTCTTTTTTTATGGCTGAGTGTGTAAATATATATATATACACACACACACCACATCTTCTTTATTCATTCTTCTGTCGATGGACATTTAGTTTACTTCCATATCTTGGCTACTGTTAATAGTGCTGCAATGAACATTGGTGTGCATGTGTCTTTCTGAATTAATGGTTTTCTCTGGATATTTGCCCAGGAGTGGAGTTACTGAATCATATAATAAATCTATTTTTAGTTTTCTGAGGAGACTCCATACTCTTCTCCAGGGTGGTTGTATCAGTTTTCATTCTCACCAGCAGTGGAGGAGGGTCAAATTCTTAATAACTTTTGAACAAGCAGCTCTGCATTTTCATTTTGCAATGAGTTCTGCAAATGATGTACCGAGATTTAGACCAGGGAACTCTGTCCAAACACACATCATGCATGCTGCAGTTATTTGTATCTGTCTCCTTCACAAAAGGAAAAGTTGTGTAAGAGGAGGACTTTACATTTCCAAGGCCTGGCATGATGCCTGGCGTGGCGATTTCTGAATGAATGAGGAAGCCAGAACTGGGCTTCAGGTGAGCAATCCGGGGGCGACCTGCCGGAGAGGTTAGACTGGAAAAACAGAAGGCTGAGTCCCTTCCTGCAGGGCCCTGCTAAGCTGTGCTTCTCTGGAGCCTGGGGGTCCAGGGCTGCCCCACGGCTCTGAGCTGAACCTGCTCTGGGGCAGCCGACATTTCTCGTTTGGTCTCGTGTCACCTGGGGTGGATTTCGAGTGATCCCTGAACTTGAATGTATCTAGTGCCCAACCAGTTTGCTCGGGGCTGCTCTGGTCTGTGTTTGTGTGTCTGCAGCAACCACACTAACAACAATTCAGCATCCTAAGCTGGGGGGGCTTGCTGTCCCCCCAATTTCTCTTGAACACAGCTTTCAGCCCTCCACACATGACCCCTCATGCCTTCCCAGCTTCTTGGGACTCGAAGCAAATCCAGCAGCCTCTCAATCTGAATATGGTTGGGAGGGTTTCTGGCATCGTGGTGGTGTTCCAGTTCATTTGTTTGCAGGGAGAAAAGGAGGATATATACACACAAATATATTTATAGTTCTAGATTTGAGCGGACTTACCTTCTAAAAACTTTTTATTTTTTAACAATTATTTTGTTCAGTTACATTCTGCACATTAATAGACTATCCTGACGTGGTTGGTTCAGGTTAATGTCAACTGACTCTTTCTTCTCTTGATGGTCCTGACCTTTAGACTCTAACTCCCATCCCTGAGCATGTATTGTGGGTGTGATTTCACTCTCCTAATTTCCAGTCGTAAGTCTCCTTACTTGTTGATGGGAGTCAATAAGTTATTTTTCATCACTTGTGAAAACCTGTTTCTTGGGACTTCCCTGGTGGTCCAGTGGCTGGGACTCTGCGCTTCCAGTGCAGGGGGCCTGGGTCTGATCCTTAATCAGGGCGCTGGATCCCACACACCACAACTAAGAGTTCAGACGATGCAACTAAAAGACCCACGTGCTGCAATGAAGATTGAAGATCCTGTGTGCCCCACCTGGGACCCAGTGCAGCCACGTAAATAAATATTTACTTATTTATTATTTATGATTTATTTAGCCAAGTAAACAGATATTAAAAAAAAAAAAAACCTCAAACATATTTCTTAAAGTCTAATGCCTTTGACTTGAAGCAGTAGCTTTGTTGACTATGCTGTGTCTTTTTCTGTCTGTAATCATTTAATTTCAGGATTCCTTATCCTTCATGTACAAGTCTTTGGAGAAGAGCATACGTGAGATGTTTATTGGCAGCTCTCAGCCACTGACACATGTTTCTAGCCCCTCGGCATCTTACTACTTGTCATTTCCCTACACAAGGCTTGGTTGGTAAGTATGAGTGTATCTAATTCCTGAACATTTTCATCAGTGAGTATTAATTTCAAGCGGTCATTCACAAATGTTTAACATGGTGCCTGTTAGCACTTCATTTTCCAATCAATTCATCAACTAAAACATGAATTTATTGCTTAATTTATGGTAAAGATAAAACTATCTCCTTAAGATTGGTCAAAAATATGTTTTTTTGTTAAGCCTTGATTTTTTAAAAAAATTATTTGTTTTTCAATTGAGGATAATTGCTTTACAGAATTTTGTTGTTTTCTGTCAAACCTCCACATGAATCAGCCTTAGGTATACATATGCCCCCTCCTTCTTACTCCCTCCCATCTCCTCCCCATCCCACCCCCTAGGCTGATACAGAGACCCTGTTTTGAGTTCCCTGAGCCATACAGCGAATTCCCATTGGCTGTCTATTTTATATATGGTAACGTAATTTCCATGTTACTCTCTCCATACATCTGACCCTCTCCTCCCCTCTCCCCGAGTCCATAAGTCTGTTCTCCATGTCTGTTTCTCCATTGCTGCCCTGAAAATAAATTCTTTGGCACCATCTTTCTAGAGTCTGTATATATGTTTCAGTATACAATATTTATCTTTCTCTTTCTGATTTACTTTACTCTGTATAATAGGCTCATTCTATCTAATGTATAATAGGTTCATCCACTTCATTAGAACTGACTCAAATGCTTTCCTTTTTATGGCTGAGTAATATTCCATTGTGCATATGTACCACTTCTTTATCCATTCATCTGTCTATGGACATCTAGGTTGCTTCCATGTTCTAGCAATTAAATAGTTCTGCAATGAACTTTGGGGTACATGTGTCTTTTTTCAGTTTTGGTTTCCTCAGGGTATATGCCTAGGAGTGGGATTACTGGGTTGTATGGTGCTTTGATTCCTAGTTTTTATTTATTTTTTTTAATTTTTTGGACTTTTTAAGAACACATAACACAGAAAAAAATGTTTATTTGGTAAGTACAAAAGGGACACAAAATTGTATATACAGTAGAAAAGCAATTATATAAACACCCCCAAAACATCCTTGCACAGAAATGTCTAGAGGAACATTTAACACCCACCCAGAGGTTTTGGACTTCTAGAATTGTAAGAGAATAGGCTTGTGTTATTTTCAGCCATTAAATTTGTGGCAATTTGTTATAGCTTTCATAGAAAACTAATACAGGCTCAAATTCTGTTTCAGTTGGATCACATCCTGATTTTTTTTTTTTTGATCACATCCTGATTAGTAAATTCCATTTGAGTCATTGTATATCAAGAAGGATGAGAGTCTATTGGAGTGACTCAATTATGAGAAACTCCAAACCATATAAGAGGAATGTTGGAAATAACTATTTCTTCTTAGGAAGTAACAAGAACTTTGAGATTTCAAATATTTTGAGAGTTATCATGTTGAAAGGGAATTAAGTGGACTTGAATGTTCCTAAATAATGAGACTAGTGTCACAACTTGTAGTTTCACATTTATTTGCATAATTATTTCTTTACTGTGTTTCTCCTCCACTGTTCTTAAATTTTCATGATGGCAGAGACTAGATTTGGTCACCACTTTATCCCTGGTGCCTTATAGCAATAGGAGCCACTCAAATAATGAGAACTGAACAAGATTTTTTTTTAAATCCTCAACTGTGGAAGTTAGTGTACAAGATAGTTTGTTTTAACAAAGAGACTTAATTTCTTCCTGGTTCAGCCTTGAAAGGTTTTACTTTTCTAAGAATTTGTCCATTTCTTCCAGGTTGTCCATTTTATTGGCATATAGTTGCTCGTAGCCGTCTCTTACGATCTTTCGTATTTCTGCATTGTCTGTTGTAACTTCTCCTTTTTAGCTTCTAATTTTATTGAGTTTTGAGTCTTCTCCCTTTTTTTTGATAAGTCTGATGGTTTATCATTTTGTTTATCTTCTCCAAGAATCAACTTTTAGTTTTAATGATATTTGCTATCGTTTTCTTCATTTCTTTTTCATTTATTTCTGCTCTGATCTTTATGATTTCTTTCCTCCTACTAACTTTGGGGTTTTTGGTTCTTCTTTCTCTGTTACAAAGAAACTCAAATAACAGCGATTTACCTAAGAGAGAAAATTTTTTCCCTCTTCTGAAATAATCAAAGGGGAGTTGAGCATTCCTGGACTGGAAAGCACCCAGGTTTCTTCCACCTTACTGCTCCACTATACCCAATGTCATTTTTGGCCATGTGGTTGATATTGGCTCACCTCCCCATCAGCTTTCTAGCCTGTGGGAAGGATATGGTGGCAGGCAAAAAGGTGGCACAAGAATCCATTCACATATCATTGTCCAAACTTACATATTCACACTCAACTGCAAGGAAAGATAGAGAATATGTTGATAAGGTTCATTGAGATGTGTCCATTTAAAAGGTGGGGAAAGCTATTACTTAGACTGAATATTGAGGATCAGTAGCAGTCTTTTCTCCATCCGAGAAGCATTAAATTAAAATGAAAGAGAATTTTCTTCTTTAATTCTATTTTATTCATTTTACCTAAGTGTTTTCTTTCTTTCCTTTTCAAACAGTTCCTAGGCAGGTAGTATTTAGGTGATTCATAAGCTAATTTTATTTTTTTAAGGTTATCAAACTTTTTTTTTCCCATTTATTTTTATTAGTTGGAGGTATTCCTAGTTTTTAAAGGAATATACCATCTTCCATAGTGGCTGTATCAATTTACATTCCCACCAACAGTGTAAGAGGGTTCCCTTTTCTCCACACCCTCTCCAGCATTTATTGTGTGTAGACTTTTTGATGATTACCATTCTGACCAAAAAATATGTTTAACTATAAGGAACTTTGACTTTATTAAATAACCACAGCAATAAACTATTACTTTATAGAATATTTTTAAAACTTCAATATGTTTTGAAGATAGATAATTACACATTTTTTGGCATCTAATGACATTAGAAGGATAAAAGTGGGTGGCTGTTATACTGACAGGACTATTATAACTTCATAAGGCAAAAGCCTGGGACACCACAATAATAAAGAGAATTTTAGGGATTCCTCTGATTTTTAAAGAACAACTGTTACCAAACTCAACTCAGGCTTCCATCATCTGCTGCACAGGAAAGTCAGTGTACTGACGAAGGAAAGCACAGCATTTATTGCAGGGCACCAAGCAAGGGAGATGGGGATAAGCCTCAGGTCCACTCCAGTTTGGTCTTTGAGTTAGAGTGTTTTAAAGGGGAAGACCAAGGAAGCTGGGACCAACATCCTGTAACATTTCTTAATCATAATTTCAGGGGTTAGGAAGTTTCTGGTCTGCAATTCTCTGGCCAGGTGGTCCATGGTTTGGGGATCTGCTAGCTTATCCTGCCCTGGAAACAAGCTGTGTTTGTACATTAATGATGACATATACAACATCAATTACAGTACATTAACAGTGTTATGGACAATAGTAGTTTTAGTCATCTTACTCTGGTTGATTAGTGTTCAGTTAGCACAGGATTTGGAGAAGGCAATGGCAACCCACTGCAGTACTCTTGCCTGGACAATCCCATGGACGGAGGAGCCTGGTGGGCTGCAGTCCACGGGGTCGCGAAGAGTCGGACACGACTGAGCGACTTCACTTTCACTTTTCACTTTCATGCACTGGAGAAGGACATGGCAACCCACTCCAGTGTTCTTGCCTGGAGAATCCCGGGGACGGGGGAGCCTGGTGGGCTGCCGTCTGTGGGGTCACACAGAGTCGGACACAACTGAAGCGACTTAGTAGCAGCAGCAGCAGCACAGGATTGAGGTCAGAGGGCACAAGAAAGGGAATAAACGTTTGAATAGAGAGATTAATGATAAACTTGATAAGGGAGCTTTGTTTTAGGGGGACTCTGTTTCATAGCCAAACAGCCCAAGGATGTAAAAGTGACTATTTTTTTTGGAGGTTTTTATAAAGTGTCTTTTAAAAAATCACACTTTTAAAATACAAATAACATTGCAATTTCCTTGGAACAATAAACCAGCAGCCCTTCCTCTTCAGGCTGCTAATGTATTCAGCGCCAGCACAAGGAATGGGGGGTGAGTGCTGTCTTTACTGGCCATTCATTTGTGAATTTGTGAATAATGAATGGCTCTTCTTGGCCGCCTTCCTGAAAATCCAAATGAGGGCCTTCTGCTGGGCTCCTTGCCACATGAAGAGGGGTGCAGCACAGAGCTCCTTCTCGGGGGCCATTACTGGCCAGGGTCCAACCTTAGGAATACAGACCAGCAGTGTCTCCATGGTGTGTGTCTGACCCCATCCACCAGGCGTCACACCCGTTAGAAACTGCTCTTCTCTTTTTCCTCTGTTCTGCTGTTTCTTCTTTATTTAAAAAAGGTTATTTTTGGCTGCACTAGGTCTTCATAGACTTTCTCTAGTTGCGGCCAGCGGGGGCTGCTCTTTGTTGTGGTCTGTGGGCTTCTCGTTACGGCGGCTTATCTTGTTGCAGAGCTGGGGCTCTAGGCACGGGAGCTTTAGTAGTTGCAACATGCAGGCTTAGTAGTTGTGGCACACTGGCTTAGCTGCCCTGAGGCATATGGAATCTTCTGGGACCAGGGATCGAACTCATGTCCGCTGCATTGGCAGGTGGATTCCCAAACACTGAACCACCAGAGCAGTCCCTGCTGGTTATTCTTTATGTGGCCATCAGAGCCCAAATAAATAAATGACTTGGTCATTCCAGCCCCAACCGAGACATTTGAACCATTGACTCAGTTTGTCCATTTCTATAACCAGCAGGTCATAGACTCTTATTTAGAAATATCCACTAAGTCTCTTTAATTTTTTCCAATATAGGGTCCTCTATGGAGAAGGAAATGGCAACCCACTCCAGTGTTCTTGCCTAAAGAATCCCAGGAGCGAGGGAGCCTGGTGGGCTGCTGTCTATGGGGTCTCACAGAGTCGGACACGACTGAAGCGACTTAGCAGCAGCAGCATGTAGCTATGGTAGCAATAAAATGGTCTACTTACCACAAGTTGGTCTTTGATCAGGTGACAATCTGAGATGAATTGAGCCAATTGTGAAGCGATCGGTGCCGTTGGCTCAAGGGGAATTTCCTCTGTTCTCAGGTGGAGCCGGAATTGTGCTTTGTCTGCTCCGAGTTTTGCATGTAGAACAAGAAGCTTTGTGAGGCTGCTTTTTGTGTGTTCAGGTGCTATGGTCCAGAAATGCTCAGAGGCCTTGATTTTTCCAATTTCATCTTTGTTTCTTTTCCCCTGGAGAACAAGACTGAATCCCACAAACAGTATAACCTCAGAGGTGAATATAACCTCTGAATATTTTCGGATGGAAAAACCAATGAGAGGAAGTTACATTCTAGAATCTAGAAAGGAACAGGAGAGTTCTGCCCAGAGCTCTCAGTAGACACTGCAGTGGGTTCCCTCCTCTTCTTACAGGGCGATGATTTCGGCCGATCTCAACCAGGATGGATACGGTGACCTGGTGGTGGGCGCCCCTGGCTACAGCCACCCAGGCCGCACTCACGTGGGCCGTGTGTACCTCATCTATGGCAATGANATTCCTCTGGGTCTTCCCAGTGCACCAGGCCCGAGCACTTGTCTCATGCATCCAGCTTGGGCTGGTGATCTGTTTCACCCTTGATAATATACATGTTTCGATGCTTATTTTTGGCTGTGCTGGAGCTTCATTGCTGTGGGTGGGCTTTCTCTAATTGCAGTGAGCGCAGTCTACTCTCTAATTGAGGTGTGTGGACTTCTCATTGTGGGGCTTCCCAGGTAACTCAGTGGTAAAGAATCTGCCTGCTACTGCAGGAGACGTGGGTTCGATCCCTGGGTTGGGAAGATCCCCTGAAGGAGAAAATGGCAACCTACTCCAGTATTCTTGCCTGGAAAATGCCATAGACAAGTCTGATGGACTACAGTCTATGCAGTTGCAAAGAGTCAGACACATGCATGCATCTCTTGTTGGAGGGCATGGGCTCTAGGGGGTGCGAGCTTCAGTAGTTGTAGCACTCAGGCTTAGCCACTTCACAGCATGTGGAATCTTCTCGGAGCAGAAAGCAAACCCGGGTCTCCTGTATTGGCAGGTGGATTCTTAACCACTGGCCCACCAGGGAAGTCCTCTTGGAAGACCATTAGATGCACAGAAAAGTTGTAAAGACAGTTCAGAGAGTTTCCATGTACCTTGACCCAGTTTCCCCTGTGTTAACATCTTACGTAATTATGGCATTCTTGGCAAAATTAAGAGACCAACACTGGTAAATTACTATTAACTAAACTCCAGACTTTGGTCGGATTTTATTTCTTTAAGTGGTTATTTATTACCAGAAAAATCCCACAGTGACTGTACAGATGTTCCATGTGAAGGCAGCACTAGAGTTCCTCTCGGGAGCACTAGAGACCTGGAGGGTTTTCCTCCTGGACGTCATTGGTGTTCATCCTTAGGTGAGAGATAAGTAAGAAGGGGTGGATTGAGCCCTGTTACTCACCACGGATGAGTCTGGGGGCTTTGGTGGCATCACAAACTCCAAGTATCAAGCCTTAGGGGAGTTGGGGGGCCAGACTTTTACTTGTCCCAGACACCCCATTAAACCTTTCATTGTGGAGTTAATGCTGTGAAAAAATAGGATGGTGCTGCTGAACACACTTTAAATAATGAAAAGGCCAGTGGTTTATAATCTAGTTTAAGCTCTGATAGGTCTTCCCTGGTGGCTCACATGCTAAAGAGTCTGCCTGCAGTGTAGGAGACCCAGGTTCAATCCCTGAGTCGAGAAGATTCCCCTGGAGAAAGAAACAGCAACCCACTCCAGTATTCGTGCCTGGAAAAGCCCATGGATGGAAGAGCCTGGCAGGCTACAGTCCACGGGGTTGCAAAGAGTTGGACAGGACTGAGCAACTTCACTTTCAAGCTCTGATGGAAGGAGCCCCTGAGTCCAAGAGGTGTTAACTAAGTTGATGGCAGGGTACGTGATCACACAGTCCCAGAGGGACAGGGACAGTATTTTCTGGGCCCTTCTGACACCAAATGAGAAAGTTCCAGAATAAATTAACCCATTCCTGTTACTTCTTTCTTCTTCACCAAGCCATTCCCCTGTCAGACTGTGGTGTAAAGTATAATCCTTTGGGCTCCTTTAGACAAGGAGTAAGAGAGGCAGCTGCTTCCTGTGAATGGGAAACTCCATCCAAGATCCTTGGGGTGAGGAAGGAGGTAACTCCATGCCTTTGTCTCCCAGTTGTCCTTAAGTAATGGGGAAGATGCCGCACTATGGCGTGCACTAGAGATGGGAATCTTGTAGCCATCATTCTTGGTCTGCAGTTAACCTTTCTGGTCCTTATCTATAAGATGGAAGATTAGGATAGATATCTCAGAGTCAGTTCAGTTGCTCAGTCATATCCGATTCTTTGCGACCCAGTGGACTACAGCACACCAGGCCTCCCTGTCCATCACCAACTCCTGGAGCTTACTCCAACTCCTGTCCATTGAGTTGGTAATGCCATCCAACCAGTCTCATCCTCTATTGTCCCCTTCTCCTCCTGCCTTCAATCTTTCTCAGCATCAGGGCCTTCCCCAGTTAGTCTGTTCTTTGCATCAGGTGGCCAAACTATTGCAGTTTTAATTTCAGCATCAGTCATTCCAATGAATATTCAGGGTTGATTTCCTTTAGGATTGACTGGTTTGATCTCCTTGCAGTCCCAGGGACTCTCAAGTGTCTTCTCCAACACCACAGTTCAAAAGCATCAGTTCTTTGGTGCTCAGCTTTCTTTATGGTCCAACTCTCACATCCATACATGACTACTGGAAAAACCATAGCTTTGACTAAACAGAACTTTGTCAGCAAAGTAATGTCTCTGCTTTTTAATAAACTGTCTAGGTTGGTCATAGCTTTCTTCCGAGGAGCAAGAGTCTTTTAATTTCATGGCTGCAGTCACCATCTGCAATAGTTTTGGAGCCCAAGAAAACAAAGTCTGTCATTGTTTCCATTTTTTTCCCCCATCTATTTGCCAGAAAGTGATGGGACCAGATGCCATGATCTTTGTTTTTTGAATGTTGAGTTCTAAGCCAACTTTTTCAGTCTCCTGTTTTACTTTCATCAAGAGGCTCTTTAGTTCTTCTTTGCTTTCTGCCATAAGGGTGGTGTCATCTGCATATCTGAAGTTATTGATATGTCTCCTGGCAATCTTGATTCCAACTTGTGCTTCATCCAGCCCAGCATTTCACATGATATACTCTGCATATAAGTTAAAT